CACGCAACGCGGTTTTTTTAGCCATTCAAAAAATTATTAACGCTCTACGACAGATCAACCTATTGCGTGTTGCGTGTCGCGGAAAATCGGTACTTCGCCAAAAGATCGAACACGTACTTTACACGCATCATGAAACATCGGGAGGAAGAGAGAGCTAGAGAGCCGGCCGAGGGTATGTGAGAGAGAAGAGGAGAGTGAACGAGAGAGAGAGAGAGATAGAGAGAGAGAAAAAGAGAGAGAGAGTGTTCTACAGAAAGTGTCTGGTTAAAGGTATCGACAAAGCATTCACAGGATCGTGGTAAAATTATGGTCTCCGCCTCGCCCGATACACGCAACGCGAACACCATTGATGGATCTGCAAGTTCGATGTTCTAAGTTTGCCCCCACTCTAAGTTATGGAGGTATGCGCGTTGTGCATCGCGCCCGCAGTAAAATTTGTGGGAATTCCATAGCCAGCGTATTTCATGGTCCTACCTGTCTATAAGTTTCAGGAATAGGGAGGTCCCATGTGGATCAGGCGATCATCATCAAACTGGCTAGTGGCCGCCGGGTTACGCGAGCAAAAAAAATCAGGGAGAGAGCGTGTAGGTCAGATGCAGCAGATCAACTTTTCGCCGAGCTACCGATTTTATAAATTGAAATGTGCGTTCCAGATACCTTTAGAAAAGGATTTTTGGCTGGCTCCTACCGTAATCACTTGATCAAGCGATCCTGCGCCCCGACGCAACAGCAAGACCACACAAGTACATCTTCACCGCGTGCCCTTTCCGAAGAACATTTTGAGTACTATTTCTGGGACCCAGAACCGTCTATTCCACCTGCCAGATGTCCGTCTGGGCCACCGGAGATCCTGTCTTTTCCAAATTGAATTATTTCTGGCCCCGAAGCTCGTATTCCACCCGGCCACCCTCACATCCGAAAAAGCAAAGCACCTGCTAAAATTTGACCTTACCCAGGGCGACGAAAACAAAGAAAGGGCACGCAGCGATCAGAGTTATTCTAGTCGATGGGTGTTGAAGGATTATGGAAGATAGTGGTAAAGACGGAAGTTACCATGAAAAATTGTTAGGTCGTGATTAAGCGGGTGAGACTGTCTCATGCCGATACTTGCGATAAGGTGGAAAAGAACGGTATTTGGATGTATAATACACCGAAGCACTGCCCGTTTCTCGGATGCCAGCACGTGGTACGTAATGTGGTTTTTGAGATTAGATTGATTGAGATCTTACGAGAGACCAAAACGCTTCAAAGAGCCTTGACGCCGCTAATTTCGACGTCTTTAAACTTTGCTAAGGTCCTGTAAACTTGAAGATGTGTAAGTCAATGTTTACCTGGCCTGGGGGCGACGGGTTATATACAAGGTTTTTAACAAATTTAGGAAATTAAAAATATTTCTCTGCTTGGCAAACTTTGCGTCGGAGCCCCGGTACAGGCCTATTAGACTTCCTAATCAATCAAAGAACTCATGGCGGTTGCAAGCTTTGATATGCAAAAGATTCCAAACCGCGAAGCGGCAGTTGCACGTTCGCCTCATAGGGATCAGGAAGGCCGATGTCGATAAGCCTTAAAATGCGCATCACCATTAGAATATTTTTTTCATAGAATTTCCGGCTGACGCCGCCAATGATAGACGAATAGAGTGAGGGAGCGGCAGGCATCCTCAGGCTTTCTTGGGCCGAATTGCATTTCCGCGCCTGCCGACGCCTGGCGGAAGCCTAAGGATTTAGGCAGGCTTTTTATGCAATGCGTAAAAACATGTTAATCTGGTTATTGCATCTAAAACGTTGGTACCTTTGACACAATAACAAATTACCCCGGATGCCGACGGTGGGAAAAATATAGGCAAGATGTCAGGAGAGGTAATTGAATCCACCCGCCCTTTCGAACCGACTCTTAGCTTTTGTGTATCCGCGTGCTATTAACGTATCGTGCCGTATGGTTTGTCAAAAACAGTAACCTAACTTTGTAGAAAATTCTTGGACCCAATACAGCTCTTCGACGCCCCGGAACTTTAAAAAAGTCCTTTTTTTGTTCGGCAAAACTTCGAATATTCTACGACTTTACATAAAATTTCCAGATAAAGCCTGACTAATTAGAGGTCAGGCGTACTTTGCATAGCCCAGGCTCAGCCTAGGCGATGCAAATTAAAAAAGCCTGAGGAAGCCTAGGCAAGCCTAGGCTTTAGCCTAAGCCTCCCTCACTCTATAGACGAATACTCTCGCACAGAGAATCCATTTACCTTTCCGGAATGCAAAGACGATTCACTCATTCACCATTCAACCCTACATAGACGAAGCTAGGCCTCACTTTTCTCGTTATTGGACCAAAGGTACGCCGGGGAAACGTGTACGGTTTCTCGTAGCTAGTTCACGACGCATATCATCTCTGACCGTTAAAGAGACGAGGACGGCATCTGTTGACCCCCCCCCTTCGGGAGGGGGGTTCAACAGATGCAGCGGCGAGAGAGGGCGCTCAGGGGAGAGGCGCAGAGACATTTTCTTTCCCTCGCGTAATCGATTGACTTATCCCTTTAATTCCAAGAATACATACGTTAGTCATGCCAATAACTATTCAATCTACCTGGCTTTGTACTTCCCTCATTATTTCCGCAAATCCCCCACCTTGCCCGCTTGGCCAGACGCCAGGCTCGCAACTTTCATCGCGTGCCCCAGCCGCCCGGGGCAAGCTTATTTATTTACATAAAATGACGAAAGGGGGAGCTTTGTCTATGCTTTGTCTAGGCGTCTCTGGATAGCGCCTGGTCGGCGTCACGCCAAATTCTGATAAGGTAAAGCTAGACGGGGCGTGACACCGATGTTTATTCCGGGCCGGTCAGCGCGAAACCGCCTTCCGGTCTGGAGCATCAGTTTCAGACGCTATCTCCCACTCTCTCTCTCTCTCTCTCTCTCTCTCTCTCTCTCTCTTCATCTTATTTATTTTTGAGCACCAGCTGATCAAGACGGTCTGCTGCGTAAGAGTCAGACACAAATAGTACCATAAAATACAGGTGGTAGTGATGCCAGACGTAAATTCCGAAACAATCCGTCTAGACAGGTGAGCGCTTGTTGCTTGTTTGGGAAACCACTGCCTGGAATTCCGACGCAAAGGGCGAGTGATGTTTCACGATTCCTAAACAACAAAAAATCAGCTGTTGTGAAAAAGTAAATAAGTTCCACTCCGCAGCGTACTCACCCTTTCGAATTGCGGTTAGACGCATCATCATGCAGTTAGACGGGCAGACGAAAATCAAATGGGTGGACCGTGGGGAAAAACGTACCGTCAAGTGGCAGGGGCACCGCCATTCTGAAGATGGTACCGAATCCAACAATCCGGGTATGTCCTGGAAACCGACGTCATCGTGTAATAAAGCCTTGGCCAACCAGGGAAAAAATTTGACGTTACAGGCACAGGGCCTGGCCAAGAATTTTCCGATGAGTACGACTTACTTCTTTACGAAGCTCACTGGACGTCTAACTCATCACAATAAATGAGGGATTCAACTAAGAGTTATCGGCCGTTGACCAAGCAAGCCTTCACATCAGAGTCTCTCACCCGGGTTTGGAGTCTTTAGAGGTGTACACAGAATCTGGCCAATAGGTGCCATATGTACGAAAACTATAATACAACCTTTATTATCAATTTAGCCATGTTTCAGAATTTATTAAACTTACCCGTAGATACCAATACCTTGTAGTCCTGCTCGTAACGACTGAAGTAAAACCGAGCTCTCGGGTCACCGTGATAGAATATCTTTCGAGTCCGGTGTTATAACTTGGACTCGATGTGACGCTATACTCGGATCTACTGTAGCCCAGGCTAAGTGGGTCTACGGTAGTCGATTTTGTTGAACGTTCTTTTGCGATTTTCTATTTCCGGGCTTTTCCATTTTTCAAAGTGTTTCCAGATAATCTTAGTGATTTTTAATACTTTATTCCGTACCAAATCACTGACTAGGGCACGAACACACACAATTGCTTCATCAGAGAGGGCGCAGCGATTCCCCGTCGACAGAAAAAAAAATTACAAAGAGGGACCCCCGACCGAAGTCGAGGGCTAAACAAATGCATCGCTCAAAAACACAAAAAATATAAATTAATAACAATTTTTCGCGGTTTTTTTCATCAGTTGGATGGGATATAGGGATATAGGGCGAGAGATAGAGAGAGACAGTGCGTGGCTAGAGAAAAAGGGTAGCGCGTAGAATTGAGGCTAAATCGACCCGATCCTCCGCTTCATGTGGGGGTCCAGCCGAGCCCGTTCCGGGGGGAAATGGAAGTTAAATTTGGGTGTTGCGTTTATACAGAAAAAGCATGGGATTTAAGGGAAAAATAGGGATTAATGATTTTTATAAAACAGAATTTACAACACGTGAAAGTACGCAAAAACAGCAGCACATTTTTTCCTAACGGGGCGCGAATTATTGGCCGTTCTTTGGAGATTTTTGAGTTCAGAGACTTTGAATTTAAGTTTTAAATTCATTAAAATTACTAAATCGTTAAATTTGATAAATTTAGCCAATAATTCGCCATTTTATTATAACCGTGAGATCAAGCCGGGGTCTCGAATTTTTGGGACAGGGAAATTTTCATTTTTCGGTCGATTTTGGGGAATTGGCAAAGCGGGGAATGGCAAGATAGTTTGGATTTTGTGCATTTGAGGTGTTTTCGGAATATTAAGTACTAGATACCGTAATTTAGGTGTCAAACAGCACTTAAAAAGACTAGAAAAAAATATCACAAAATCAAAAAACCACGATTTTAATTCATTTTCATCCAAAAACACCTCAAATCCAAGCAGTACTTGGCCGAATCGCCGGCTGGTAGATGATCAGACCATATTATGCAAATTTTGAAGGTTTTTCGAATTTATAGAAGTCAAAAATTCGTCTGTCACCCCCAGTTTCCGGTCGATTCGGCCACCCGTGCGCGGCGCGGCTGGTTAGCGGCCTTTTTTGGTCTCGTAGTTAGAAGCTAGATTCTTGGCCAGATGCCAAACATCTAAGCGTCAATCTCGTATCGCATCAACTGCTTCAGCCGGGCGGATTCCCGGTTGGATGGGGACGTGCATTGCTCGCCCCAGCAGCAGCAGAACGACGTGTCGGTGCCGTCGACGGCCTTCGGGTCGCACTCCTTTTTGCAGTCAGCCATCATGGAGATCTGTAGAAATTGATATAAATTACGTATTTGCTTGCTTAGAAAATCTATTGAAGCTCTTGTGCTTGTTGGCTATGTGCCTTTGCCAAAGCACCTCGAATTTTGCATCGGAGCTACTCTAGCCACGAAATTCTAAGTATCGAGCTGAACTTCTTGAACTCGTTGACTCATTATCTTTGCTATTGTGCATTAATTTATAGCAACAAACAAGAAGTCATCAAGTCTCGTGCGAACTTTGAACTTGCTGAACTCGTTGGCAACCTTGCTTTCTGGCTTTCTCTCTCTCTCTCTATCGATCTCTCGCTCTCTCTCTATCACTCTCTTTCCTTCTCTCTCGCGCTTTCTTAACACTCACCGGCTGATGCACCCAGCAGTCGTAGCTCTCAGAGTCTCCCGTCTTGGCGTAGAAGCAGCCAGGAATCCACTCGCCGTCGTTCATATCATCAGATTTTCGGCACTCCTTCAGGACGGGCTAAAAATGGGAGATGAACAAGATTCAAAACCACCAAAAAAAATTGTAACACAGGATATCCAGCCAAAAAAATACCTTGTCGAGCATGACGGCCATGCCGTCCTTCTCGGCGTAGTTGACAAGGCATCGGGTGACTTCCGGGACTTCTCCAGCATCACTAGAATTTGAATAGATAGTAAGGGATGGATTACGGTAAGACATCTCTCGCTCTCTCTCTCTCTCTCTCTCTCTCTCTCTTTCTCTCTCTCTCTCTAAACACCTACTTCAAGAACGGCTGCAGGTGCTTCTTGGCGGCGGCAAGACGCGGGTTCAGCTTCTCCAATTCAACTTTGACCGGGTGAGAGATCCGCACCGGCAGCTCGTCCAACTCTTCTAACATCTCATCATGATGATGATGGTGGTGCCGGGCAAGGGATACGGTAGCGAAGAGGGCAACGGCAAGCAGAAGTTGTTGCATTTTAGCAGGCAATCCGAGGGAGTGTGGGGGATTTGGCTGGAAATCAGTTCTTGAGTTGCGTTTCTTGGCCGTCTAGTTGATAAGATCAGAAAACACTTTCACGAGGTGAGAAATGGGGGCAAAGGGCATGTCTTAGCAGGAAGAACGACTTGGTTGGGAGATCAAAAAGTGGCGTAAACAAGAATCGGAATGTGCGACAGATCAAAAAGTGCCAAGAGGCAACTTTGTAGTATTACGTAAATTTGCGTAAGTGTTCGTCGAGCTAGAGAGAAAGGAGAGTGAGGAACCGACAGAGAGAGAGAGCGAGAGAAAGTGAGAGAGGAAAGACCTCAGAAAACTGCAACCGGAAGGATGTGTAAACAGGAAAAGTAGCAAAACGAGGAGAGTCAAATAAAGTGAGAGAGAGAGAGAGAGAGAGAGAGAGAGAGAGAGAGAGAGAGAGATAGAGAGAAGCGAGAGGGAGTGTAGATAGAAAGATAGATGGAGAAAGCTAAGAAAGATAAAAACCACAAATTAATATGAAGAAAGTTGCGGACGAATGATTCTTGAGGTATTTTCGGGGTCTCGACTAGATCAAAAAATCAGCTGACCCAAAATATGCGGCAAGAAAATGATGCAAAATGAGGTAATCGCAAAAAAGTTGCCTTTTCAAGCGTTTTTCGTCCTCAGGACTACGGTAGCGGTCTCAATCAAATTCTGATACACATTTGAGATCAATTGCGTAATTTATTAAATTTTAGCATGCTAATTAGCTTCAATAAATATGGTTGCTTATCAAAATGTTTTTAATTTAATGGGGTTGAGCTCTAAAAGGCGCCAACGAACTTGAGAACTATGTGAACTTGAGAGGTGTGCTCCCAAAAACGTTGAGTTCTGCCCCCGAAGCCGGAAGCACCCCTCCGTGGGCCGTTCCCAGTGAATGTTGCGAAGTTATCCGAGCTGAAGCATTGGCAGAGCAGGCAGACGATTTGAAAGTGCCGTCAGGGCGTAGAAGTGGCCGTTCGTGGCCTCGATCCGGGCCCTAATAAAGGGTGGCGGGGGTAGGGCCCGCCCCGCCGGCCCCTCCCCTTTCGCCCGCCGAATTCCAGCCCCCTAGGGGTCTCGGGGACCCGCCCAGGTTACGGTAACCCCCGTTGGGGCATAGCACGCCCCTCCCTTGGAAACGGTAGCCCGGCCGAAAAACGATGTTGCCGATTTGGGGGCGTGGTCTGAGGAATCGTAGGGTTTAACTAGAAGGAAATGGCTTCTTCAGGAGGAAGAGAGGATTTTAAAGGTGTTATGAAGGCGGGGAGGTCGGTGCAGTTACTAAATTAGCATCCTAACTAAGCAAGGTTCATGCTAGGTCAGTTTTTGGAAAACATTGCTAAGACAAGGTATTTTGAGGGAACAATGAAGCTTCAAAAGGCAGTTAGGAAGTATTTTCGTTTCCCCAGGCAAGTAACGGAAAGAAATAAAACATAAATTCAAATCAGGGAAAAATTAGAGAAAAATCAAGTGTTCTGGAGTCCAACAAAAAGGTCTTTAAAGGGATGGTGAAGTGTGCGAAATGCACAAGTGCTAAAATTGGAAGGACGAAATCGAGAAAAATTCTTCGAAGCAGACTATGAATTCATACATATCGGGAATGATTTTCCAAACTTAGTAAATGCTTTTAAAAGTTTGTTAATCTCGTCAAATATGAAAATGACATCTTAAAGAT